TAATTATTGGTACTATTGGGATTGTTATTTTGGGTTTGTCCAACTTTAATTTGACTTTATGATTTTTTAAAACCTCCATTTCTCTAGTCAATTTCTCTACTTCTCCATTTACCTTGTCTTCCGTTCTCAATAGATTTGTTACTTCTAGTTTCTCTAGAGTTTTTTTAATGCTTGCGATCGATGTATTATCTGCTAACCTTATTAACTGAAAGGTTTCTTTGAGTACTCCTTTTAGAATGTGTTCACATATTTCTTCTTCGGTCATATTCTTGTTTATTTTATAACATATTGTAGGTATAGGAACGGTTGGGTAATATTAACGACAACGAACACGTTAAATATGAGATAAATTATATTGTACAAATCGTCAACAGTCTATCTGAACAACAATTATATTCGCGTTATGTCACGATGACGGTCCGGCAAAAGCTGATCCAGTCGCCACCGCCGATGGCCAGGTTTCTTTGGGTACTCCTTTTAGAATGTGTTCACATATTTCTTCTTCGGTCATATTCTTGTTTATTTTATAACATATGCCTACTATTTTAATTATGAATTCTTTATATGTTTCTCCTTTTGCTAGTTTCTGATTTTCCAATTTTGCCGTTAGTAAGTGTTTATTTCCTACTAATGTAAATTCTGTTATTAATTCACTTTTGACTTCGTTCCATGTTATATTTTCGTTTTTTGATTTTAGTTGTTCAAAATAATCTTCTGCTGAGTCCTTAAGATATAGTTGTAGAATAATTACTTTGTGTTCGTCGTTCCATTCGTTCACGACAGCTATAAGTTCAAATTTTTTTTTATGAATTTATCAATATCCTCGTTTTCTTTTCCTGAGAAAATATCGGGTTTATGGTTAAACGACATTTTTATACTTTGTTTATTTTTTAAAGATTTTTTTGAATTTTTTTCAATAATATTCTTAGTGTTGATCTGTTCACCCGAAGTATTATTGTGGGTTTCTACCTTGAAATGTATAGGATCTGCTGTTAATATATTTTTTTTAATATCTATATTTTCTGGTTCAGTTTTTTTTTATTAGAATCGTCTTCAACAACAATTACGTTCAATAAATTTTGATCACTATTTTGTAAATTGTCCTCTGTAAAAGTTAATTCTGTTTCGTTTAAGCTATCCTCAGCGTCGTCTTCGTCGTTCCTAAAACTTTTTAATGCTGATTTTGCAAGATTTCTTAATTCGTTAATTGTCGATGAAATGTCACTATCTATATTACAAAATTCTAAGAAACCCACTATTTCCGATTTATTTAATAAATTTATCCACGCAACTGTTCGCTGGGAAATTATAAATTCAAATTTCTTTTGTGCTGGTAATTGGTTAAAATCTTCCTTTTCTAAAGTCTCAACTACGTATAGAGAGCACAGTGTAAATTTTTGAACAAGTTTTGCTGACAGAGGTATCTTTCCAAACCTGGAATTTGAAAAATAGTTACCTAAATCGACTTCTTCGATTTGCCGTACTAAATTTATTAGATTAATTTCGTTTATTTCGGAATTAAAAGTTTCATTCAGATATAATATATTTGTTCTATACATTAACTTGTCCATTAAATACTTTTATTTATCGCAACATTGCTTAATATGTTCACTTACAATAAAATAATTCTCATATAATTTCTCTATTATGTACTAATATGTAATTTACTCCTATTCTTAAAACTTAAAATCTCGTAACTATCCAAACAAAATTCAACTACCTAATTTTTATTTTTACTATATAATTTCTCTGATAACATAACCCCTATATGTAATTTACTCCTATTCTTAGAACACAAAATCTCGTAAATATCCAAAAAAAAAATTAAATTAAAATTAAAATTATAAGGTACCTTATACATAAATTTTCTAATCCCGTAATTCTTTCAATTCTTTTACTCTTATTCTTAATACTTAATATATATCATGTATATCATTAAACTTAAATAATAAAAAAAAATCTCAATTATTCTTAACACGGCTACACTTTAATTTTATTATTTTCCTACGCTTCAATTAACCAAACTTAATAACTAATAACAAAATAAAAATCTAAACCAATCGTAAATATCTGTAACTTCAACTACTTAAGAGCTTCGGCGCCTCCACCAATATGTAACGTGGTCGGGGATGGCCCGTTAAATATAAGATATTCAGGGAAGAAATTAATTCTTTTGAATATATTTTTACCGTAGCTCGGGAGCACTAATTGTATTAGGATCTTAATATTACAAATAAATAACGATTGATCTAAATTATTATTAATATAAACAAATTATTTATTATAACTTACAATTTACGAACAAAGTTACCAAAAATGTAGGATTGTACGGAGTTAAGGTGCACGTGATGGACTCGCGGAGAACTGGTATTCTCTTACATAGGGATATTGGCCGGAGCCTTACAATCATAAAATATATATGTGTCACCTAAACCGGAGGGGCTTAATATATTATTATAGTCAGCGCATAATATGCCTAATGTGCATATTATGATGCTTATAAAATAAACGTAATGATGTAACATACGTTACAATACATTTTTCGTAATACAAATATAGAAATAATAATTTGTAGGTACCAAATTCGAATTTAGCGGGGAAGAAAAATTAGTAATTTTCAAACAATTACATAATTCCGTTATGGGTGGACACCTAGGAATCAACAAAACCGTAAAGAAAATAAAGAAACAATTTAACTGGCCAAACTTAAAGCAGGACGTAAAAGAATATATAAAGAATTGTACAGCATGTCAAATGAATAAAAATACTATCAAACATATTCAATATCCGATGGCTTTTACTACAACTAGTACGAAACCATTTGAAAAAATATTTTTGGACATTGTAGGGCCTTTGGTTACAACCGGGTTAGGTAACAATTATATACTCACGGTGCAATGCGATCTAACAAAGTTCAGCCTAGGGGTAGCAATACCTTGTCACACCGCTAACGTGGTGGCGAAAGCGTTCGTAATAAATTTTGTCTGTATACATGGGATACCGGATGAAATTTTGAGCGATCAGGGCACCGAATTCATGTCAAATTGTTTCAAAGACGTATGTAAATTGTTAAAAATCAACAAGATTAAGACTTCCGGTTATCATCCGATGACCAATGGGGCTCTAGAACGTTCACATAAGACATTGGCAGAATATTTAAGACACTACGTAAGTATAAGTTTAGACAATTGGGATGAGCTTTTACCTTACGCCATGTTTGTCTACAATTCTACGGAACATACGTCCACGAGGTACCAACCATACGCGTTATTATATGGCAAGAATGTTAATATACCAGTTAAACTGAAAGCAAAACCAGAACCTAGGTACAATTATGATGATTACGTATAGGATCTTAAGCAAAAGTTCCAGGAAGCTCATCAAATTGCACGGAATAGATTAATAAAGAATAAAGAAGTAAATAAACGATATTATGATAAGAAAACAAATACGGAAGAGTTAAAAATCGATGATATGATTTTACTTCAAGATCATACTCAAAGAAATAAATTAAGTCCACTTTGGAAGGGACCATACGAAGTACTGGACGTATTAGATTCGGAAAATGTAGTTATATCACGGAATCGCAAGAATGTGACGGTACACAAAAACGATGTGAAACTATATTATGAAGACAATAATGTGGATAACGAAGAAAACGAATAAACACATGACGAAGTTTTAATTATAAGTAATTAAATAATAATAGGATAGGATAGCTAAAATATCATTACAAAACACAGTATAATATATATAGTATAGATATAGTATAGGATACGAAATAATTATAGTACACAAATAAAAGAAGAAAAAAAATAATAACAATAAATGATAAAGTCGTCGTGGGATGTGCTCGCGAGGGCATTTGAAAATAAAGAATAAAATATACGTGTATTATAGGTGGACTTCATTAATAACGATAGCAATTGGAACAGTAAAAAACCAGAAATATACAGATTCCGGCAAGGGGTCAGAAATAAAGATCTATTATAAGAACGAAGATAATTATAAAAGAAATATAATTGTTAAATAAATATTAATTAAATATAATTGTATAATACACATATGTATTATATATAATACCAATTTAATTAGGTATATTATCATTAGTTATTTATAAAATTAAAATCCATAAGACTAAGTTAAATGAAATATACTGTAATAATTGTATTGTTAGTAACTTAAATGTTAAATGTTAAATTTCAAAATATTAAAATTTACTGTATTATTATTACATTTATAATTGCTCTATTGTTCAATATTAATTATTTATGCATTGAAATATTTACTATATTATGTAGTTATAACATAATATGTCGTAATATACAATAATAATATTATCATGTACTAATAAGTGTTATAACTCATTTATTGCATTAGAATCCATAAGAAAAATGAGACAATATAAAGATGTTAGTGATATTGAAATAGAAAAACCGTTGAAAAATTGGATGGCTCAATCATCAGCTCGCATAAAAAAGACCATGGAGAAAAGTTCTATTAGTGATAAATCTTAAAAATCAAATCACTATTAATTATGATCAACATTTTTTCTTTTAATAAATGTGTGTTATTATCATTAAGTGGGTAAATTTTCAATTATTTTAAAAGTTTTTTCATGTTTACTAAGTATATTTTATTCTTTTTTTTTTTTTTTTGAAAATAACAAAATTAATTTTGTATAATTTATATAATATTGTGATTATTATAATAGGACTTATATATATTGTAAATATTATTAATTATTATTATATTGCATACTTTTAATGTGTGTTATATGCAGTTTTACATAATTAACTATTTAAAAATATTATAATTTAATTTTTATTATCCATATTATTACTTGAATAATATAAAACGCTAAGAGGCGTTCAAAAACTGTCCGGAGCAGGCCAACTCCGGACTTCTAACCCCTGGCATGGACAATGCAACCGCCGATCTAGCCCGCCGGCGGCCAGAGGGGGTAGGGCTACATGGGGCAGCCCCCCAAACTAACAACAATGAAAACACAAAATAAAGAAAAAGATGTTACTGATACAAAGGCCCAGGAAACCTTAGATCCGGCAGGTGTGGGTGAGCTCGCCACACAGGTCGTCATCATTAGCTCCGGAAATGCGCAATCGAACTTGGAAACGGCATACTTGGATAATAAAGACACGGTTATTAACGGACACTGCTACGAAGTCCCCCTTAGACTCAGGGGTGGCGGTGACAATGATACGGAGATGGCACAAGCTGCCAGCACAAGTGGTGACATGGGCAACGCAAGCCGTCTTAAGCGCGGCCCACCATCACCGGGCTCGCCAAACGGACAATCCGCTAAACAGCTAAGAGCAGCTGCAAAGAACCCGGGAGAGCTCGACGAGCTAATTGGCTGGCTTGAACAAACTGTTGTCCAAGAGAAAGAAAAGAAAAAGCTGGCTATCACAGTTGCCGAGAAGATGCTCAGTAATCTCAGCCGCTTAAGGACACTAACGAGATCCATTACACACGAAAACAGTAGGCTCGCTGGTGAGATAAAGGGCAAAGAGGACGCCCAGAGGGAAAGCCTCACAGTCTTTATTAATAAACTAGACGCAAAGAACGCAGAAACAAACAGCCTCACGGCTGAGCTGGCGGCACTGAAAAGTGCTAGGGTAGCGCCAGTCCAAGAACCCCCTAGAGTGACATACGCCGCTAGGACAGCGGCAGTTGCACCACCGGTAGTAACAGCAACAGCTGCTCCTGCTGCTACTACAAAGTCCAAGAAGGCGAAGGAAAGGAGCCAGCTGGAAAAAAGCAGAAGGGTTAAAGCCACTTCCCGATTCATGGTGGAAATTCCCCAGGATATGACGGTTGAAAGCGTAAAGGCCGGCGTGTGGCAAACCGTAAAAGGCAAAATCAACAATCCTAAAGCTAAGACAATAGTAAGCGGAAAGAACCTAATTATTATACCAGACAATTCCAACACGTTGGAGGTGATGCGAGGCCTCGAACATGCCATCGAAATAGGCCCGAGGAAGCCGAGGGTCATCATCTACGATGTTGACAAGGGTATGCCCAAAGAGGAGCTCATCGAGTGTATACTAACACAAAACACGGAGCTTGGCCTCACAAACGAAGACCACAGCAACATTACTCCGTTGCACAAACTAGGACCTCGGAGCAGCGACACGGTCCATTGGGTGGTAGAGGTATCTCCTAGTGCGCTCAAGAAAGTAGAAGATAAGGCACTATACATTGGCATGATGCGATGCAGGTGCAAAGCACACAGCTAGTTGCCGCAATGCTTCAATTGCCAACAATACGGGCACACAGCAGCCAGGTGCGAGCGGAGGACGCCTTCGTGCAGGAACTGCGCGGGCGCACACGATTCCCGGACTTGTAGCGAGGAGGGGATCAAGTGCGTGAACTGCAAGGGGCCTTACAAGGCGTCAAGCTCGGCTTGCAAAGCCAGGGGTCAAGCTACTAGAAACTTGCTCAGGCGCACGGACTTCGACTCCTCATGATAAACATAGTACAGACCAACCTAAATGGTCAAAGAGTAGTGTCGTATATTGTAGACAGTCGTCATAATATTATTTTATATATGTAATAGAGGTGGGAACATTTTAAATTGTAAACTATTAACATAGGTCAGTGAAGCATATGTGCTGAGACAGCGATAAGATTACTATATAACACCGCCGCACGCGCAGGCACAGGAGGAGAGTCCCGTTGTCGCTGAGTGAATCGGCGAGGACGTAGGTACTGTGGTCGTAGGTGTGAAACGTCGATCGTAGTACGGGCTAGGCAATCCGGATTTGCTAAGTGTTTAATTTATGTTTGTTTTAATATAATAAAAGTGTTTCCGACCTAAAAACCCGAGTTGAGTTTTATTTCAAAGTCTTCTTCGTTCTTACCTTTAATATTGGAACAGTGCTCAGACCCACACACCTATAGTCAATGAGGTTTATTACAAACTGAACAGTGCTCTGGTTGTGGCGTCCTAATAGTCATTCCAATTTAGGAAACGAACGAAGAACTGACAAAACGCTACCATCGTACCTCAAAGGTTAACAGTGCTAATCTGAATATATTCTAGAGACAGTCATTAGCCTAGAGCGTACGAGGGTAAGGTATAAAGTTGGTTTACCGCGTATTATCCAATACGGGTGATACCACAGAGTGGCGCCCAACGTGGGGCTCGAACCCACGGTCGGAGACATTTTTTTGATTTTTTTGTGCCCTGGTACCTCAACCTTGGCAAGTTTAATTTTTTTTGAAAGTGTTTACGTACGAGAAGTACAACAGTTTTTACGTGTAGTCTGGGAGAGATTCCCTTGACACACCTTTTTTTTTTGGTACAAGTGAAGTACAACAATTGTGCACGTTTCGGATAGTAAAACCCGGAGCCAGTTTAGTGTTTTTTTTTTATTTTATTTTACCTGTTAAAGTGTTAAAGTAAAATAATACTTTTTGTGTGTTTTGGGTGCAGTAGAAACCCAGAACGCAATTTTTGTGCGTGTGTATACCGAGTGAGTAACACATACGCGTTCGATTTTTGTCTGACCGACAAGACAGCAGTTTTGTGCCGCGTGGGTACAATTTTGCTAACCGTGCGTCTACTGCAAGTATACGAAGGTGAGCAACGTTTTGTAATATACTTATATTAGGATTATAGATTAGATTTTTCTTAAAACAATTTAAATAGAATTTTAGTTCAATAATTTTTCAAAATTTTTTTTCTTTCAATTTTAAATAACAGAAAAATTTTAATTTAAGTTTTAAACAAGTAGATTAGGTTTTTTATAGAAACTATTTAAATAGGATTTTTATTTAGTTCAATTTTTCTCTCTATTTCCTTTTTTTTTCTTTTCAAAATTTTATTCGATATAATTATAACCGCAAAAATATATTAATTTAAGTGATATACCTACTAACGTATTAATATTAGGATTGTAGATTAGTTTATTTTAAATTTAAATAGGATTTTTTTTTTCTCAATAATTTTTCAAAATGTTTATTCAATATTAAATAACCACGAAAAATTAAATATATTGGAAAATAAAAATCCCAAAAACAAAATGGAAAAAATGATAGTAAAACCGGATAGTTTTTCCGGACAAGGCGACATAAAAACTTTCATCAGACAATACGAAAAGGCAGCACAGATCAACAATTGGAACGACGACGAAAAAATTAAGTTTCTATCAATATTTTTGAAAGAAACTGCTAACAAATTTGTACAAAATTTGGAAAACAAAAGAGAAAACTGGTCATGGGAAAATCTAAAAAGCGAGTTCATAAACGAATTTCAACCCATAGGATACTCAATAATATTAAAGAACAAATTAGAAAATAGGAAACAGAACGACTTAGAGTCAATTTCTAGTTTTGTTACGGAAATAGAATACCTGTGTAGCCAAGTACAAAAAGATATGAAAGAGGAAGATATTTGCGTGTACATACTAAAAGGTATTAGGGAACCTATATTACATGCCATCTCACTGCATGATAATAGTACTTTGAAAAAATTGAAAGAAAATTTAAAAAAATATGAACTTATGCAATTTAGAATTAATTCAAGAAGTTCAGGACTCAGTGAATACACGGAAATCTTAAATAAACAAGTAATGCAACTAAATAATGAAACTAAAGACAGCAATCAAGAAATAAAACGATTAAATACTAAATTAGAAGGAATAGATAGTTATCATAAAAACAAAATCGACCAACTGTGTACCAAAATCGAACAACTATGTACAGAAATGCATAATTTTAAAAAATACGACAAGACAGTCAATTTTGAAAATAGATCACGCAAGCGAGACAAAAGTCCATATCCAGAAAGAACAGATCACGAAGGCAGGAACAATTATAGAGAAAAAAGTCCTTATCCCGATAGGAACAACAACTATAAGTTCAGAGAAACGAGTAGAGATAGATACAATAACAATAAATATAGAAATAACAGTAGAGAAATGAGCAATAATAGAGATAGGTCTGACTCAAGAAATAGGAAAAACTCCTACGACAGATCCAGAGATAAAAATAGTTATAACAACAGAAATAGTGGAAATGACACAAATTGGAAACAGTATAGTAGGGAAAACAGCAGAGAAAGATATTCAAGATCCACGACGCCGGAGAGATTTAACGGAAGAGAAAAAATAACATGCTATAAATGCAATGGTAAAGGACACTATGCTAACGATTGCAATTTTTCAAAAAAACGAATAGCACCCGAGCTAAGAGAAAAATCGGAATATCTAACTCGGGGAACAAAATATAATACTAATACCAAAACCGACACCTCAAAATTTAACAAAGAGAAGCAGATTGAGAAAAATAATTATATACATTTTGTAGAAAATTGGTACAAATCAATAAATTCAAATAAATTAATAACTAATGAAATAAACGACGATGACGAAAAATCTATAGAAAACATCGTAACAATAAGTAATTTGAACCCATTAAATGAATTCCAAAAATTCCTACTCAGCAACAACGATAGAACCGACTTCCTATGCGATTACAGTGAACAGACGGTAAATATTTTTTCATTACCAAATGATATCGCAATCGGCCATTGCACAAGCCAATGCCTCACCATGTCGAAGGGGATCGCATTACAATTTAGAAATAAATTTAACAACGTTCAAAATTTAATAGACCAAGAAAAAAAACCGACCGAAATTGCTTATTTGAAAAACGGAAGACAATGGATTCTATACCTCATAACAAAAAATAAATATTACGACAAACCAGCATACACTAACATTTTTAGCACATTAACTAATACTAGGCAATTTTGTATAAAAAATAATATTACTACCTTAGCATTACCCAAAATTTGCACTGGACAAGACAAAAAGGATTGGAACGTTATTTCTACAATGATTAAGTTTATTTTTCAAGACACGCAAATAAAAATTTTAATATGCCTACTGCCGAGCAACGACAATGAAAAACTAAATAAACATTATAAAAACAATGATTCCCAAACTACTAATATTACGATAGGTAAAAATTTTAATAACACGATCAGTGATAGTTTAAAGAACGAAATCGCACTAATAGCTGGCTCATTCATAAAAACGAAAGACGTACCCGGAGACGATGATTGTGGTGCCCACGCACTACGAATATGCTTGAAACAACATGGTATATATAGAAAGACAGTAGAATTATTAAATATGCTCGGCATTCCTAATTGCAAATCTGGCTACTATTTTAAAAATGACGATCTAGCATTTATCTGTGACCAATTTAATTTAAATTTATATTTAATACACGAAGATTCCGAACATACAAATGCCATAATATACTGGAAATCAAATAGGAAAAGTATAGGGATATTCGAAAAAGATTATAATTGGACACTATATGCGGAAACTACATAAGAGAATATCGGAATCGGCCCATACAAGAAGACGAGAAAGCCATAGAAACCAAAAATCAGCTAATTCAACACAAAGACGAAATTAAAATCAAAAATCAAAATACAAGCGTAGATTCAGACACAGACCGGAAACAAAGAGTGCTATCCATAAAAATAAAACTAGACGGCAACGAACAAAATGCAATAATAGACACAGGCTCAAATCTATCATGTATAGATTATTCCCTAGTTAAAAATAAACAAGAAATTAAACCCAAAGAACAAATAAAAATAACAGGCGCAGATAATAATGAACTAATACAAAAAGGAACAACAGAAGTAACAATTACAATCAACACACTCAAATATAAAATCAAAGTATACGTCATTGAAGGACTAAGTTGTAAACTACTATTAGGAAACGATTTTAATATCAAATACAACATAATAATCAATTTTAAAAATAAAAATATAAAAATCGAAAACAATTCTATAAATATGGACGAAATATGGTACGAACACAATAGAAGTCATAACATAAATATTTTTGCTACTGGAAGCATTATGTGTAAAAATCAAAATAATGAAACTGAAATAAAAGACGATCAAGGCACAATAATAAACATTTCCAAGGAGCTAAATAATGATCAACGCGTAAAAGCATGTAAATTGATAAAAAGGTTTAAACATTTATTTACATCCGACCCATTAAACATAGGGTGTGCAAATGTCGAGCCCTGCGAAATAAACTTAAAATCCAACAAACCCATATTCCAGCCACCATACAGAACACCCCCAATTCAAAGAGAAAAATTGAAGAAATTAATCAATAAAATGATAAAAGCCGACATTATCGAACCAAGCCGAAGTAATTACGCGGCACCAGTATTTTTAATTCCGAAAAAAGAGAAAGGCGAATACAGATTTCTAGTAGATTATAGGAAATTAAAAAATGAAACAATTAGTGACAAACACCCTATACCTAGGTCACAAGACCTTTTTAGAAGCTTAGAGGGAGCAAAATACTACAGTTCTATCGACCTTTGCCAAGGTTATTTTCAGATTCCGGTAAAAAGGGAGGACCAAGATAAGACAGCCTTTATCACGGATTTCGGTCTATACAATTTTAAACGAATACCTCAAGGTTTCAAAAACTCGGGCCCGATCTTTCAAAGAGTTATCAACAATTTATTTAGTGATTTTTTATATAGAACAATGATAGCATACTTGGACGATATATGTTGTTACGGAAACGACTTTGAAGAAGCATTATACAGACTAGAAGAAATATTCAAAAGACTAGACGAAGCCGGATTAAAATTAAAAACTAGCAAATGCGTACTATTAGGTACCGAAATAGAATTATTAGGGCATAAAGTATCAAATAAAGGACTAACACCGTTGGAAAAAAATATAAAGGCGATAAAACATTTTCCAATACCTACCAAAATTAAAGACGTAAGAGCTTTTATAGGACTAACTAGTTATTACAGGAAATATATTAAACATTTTGCGAAAATTGCTACTCCACTCACTGATCTAACAAAAAAGGAAAATAAATTTCATTGGGACAGCTCTCAAGATAATGCATTTAATATATTAAAAAATGCCATAATAACGGCCCCCGTACTAGCTCATTTTGAGGACGAACACCAAGTTTTCGTAACCACGGACGCATCACTAGAAGGACTCTCGGGAATTTTAGAACAAAACGACAAAGATGGGAAACGACACCCTATAGCTTTCGCTTCGAGGAAATTAAAAGGGGGTGAAAGGAACTTCACTACCACTGAATTAGAAATGTCAGCAGTTGTTTTCGCAGTGAACTATTTTAAAGAATATTTGTTAGTCAGAAAAGTAATAGTATTTAGCGACCATTCTAGTCTACAATATTACCAAACAATGAAAAATCCATCGTCCCGAATAACAAAATTTATTTTCAAATTATTAGAATTCGACATTGAAATTAAACACCGACCCGGCCTTTGGAACACAGCGGCGGACTGCTTATCACGATACCCAGTAGACACGTTACAAGTAAAAGATATTTTTGATACCACAGAGACAGAAGAAATAACTTTTGACACAATAAATATAGAAAAAATTAAAGAAAACCAATTAAACGACGAATTTTGCAAAGGCATCATATCAGCAATAAAAGAAAATAATAATTCAAAATACAAAAGAAAGTCTAGACAATTCCTAATTGAAAACGATATTTTATTTTTCAAAAATTGGTCACCGAACGGAGTCAAAAATTTGTTAGTAATACCCAAAAATTTAGTCAATATAGTACTAAAATCTTACCACGAGTCAGCACTATCAGCACATTTCGGAATCACCAAAACATTAGCAAGACTAAAGAAAAAATATTACTGGCCGACAATGATACAAGACACAAACAAATTCATAAAAACATGTGCGTCATGTCAATTTTCAAAAAACCAAAATGGTAAAAACTAAAAAGCCAGGTTTATTACAACCTATTCCGTTAACAGACACAAAACCCATGTCTAGACTATGTTTCGATTATTTAGGACCATTACCAATGTCAAAAGGTAAAAAATATTTAATAGTGGCTACTTGCAACGCGACCAAAATGGCTTTTGCAAAGGCTGTTACAAACGCAGACGCAGCAGCGACCATCGATTTTTTATTTGACATAATAACTACCTACGGTACACCAAAATACTTCGTCAGCGACAGAGGTACACATTTCAAAAATACCGAAGTAAAAAACATATGTGAAAAATTAGGAATAACTCAAATTTTTTCGACTAGTTACCACCCCCAGAGCAACGGAATGACCGAATTAATGAATAAAATTATATGCAACGCCTTAACACACTACGTCGACAATAACCAAAAAAATTGGGCACTATATTATAAAATGATTATATTTGCATATAATACACACCCACACGCAAGATTTGGTTACTCCCCATTCTACCTAATGTACGGCACGGAGGCAACGCAACCTCTAGACAACAAAATCATCCCACCCGAAACAGACCATAATAGAATCGAAGAAATAATACAACTACAAAAAATTAGGCAAGAATTACCAAAATTAATAGAAGCAGAACAAATTAAGCAAAAGAAACAGTACGACAAGAACCACAAGGAAGTGGAATACCAACCCGGCCAAAAAGTGCTAGTAAAAATAAAATTCCAGAAACAAGGAGAATCAAAAAAATTGGCGCACAAATACAGAGGCCCTTTTGAAATTTTAGAAAAAATTTCGGACGTAAATTACAAAATTGCATTAACACTAAATGGAAAAGAAACAACGGATACCATACACGTAGATAGACTAAAGCCATACCACGAAGAATTAAATTAAATAAATAAATAATAATACTAATAAGTAATAATGCAAAAAAAAAAAAAAAAAAGAACAATTATTAATCAAATTATAGTAAAACAAGAAATTATGTAACATTATGAAATTCGTATATTCATATATATTTATTTTTATTTAAGTAATAAAAATAATAAGTAAATTAAGTATATGTCACATATAGGTTAAATTAATTCTATAAAAAAAAAAAAGGTATAAAAATATATATAAATAAAAAACAAAAAAATAGAATGTATTTTCAGCATAAACAAAATTCACGAGTCAACAGACAACAAGCCGCAACAATCTTCTGAGACAAAGTGCGAATATAATATTTTCAAAGTAGACAATAAGCATTAAACCAATAATTATAAAAACAATAAGCAAATAGGTACCTTTTCATACGAAGACACGAGGAAGATACTGCAGTCAAAACAGAAGTTTGAAAAAATAATATATGAGAATATAATATATAAATAAAAAAAAAATATATATATACAGATTATAAGAAGAAAAACTAAAACAAGCAAGATAATAAATACTTACCTTATGAAATACAAAAAGAGAAAAAGAATTAACTACCACAGAATCGAAGAATAAAATGCCGTAGAAGAACAACAATCATTTACTGCTATTTGTCGAAATAAAAATATTATACTTCAAACTGAGAAAAATCTCTAAGAAAACATTTTCCACAAAGAGCCAATCAATAAATTATTATAACCTTATATGTATTCACATAAATTTTTGTATCTATATTCTGAGTAAAAATGTCATACATTATAATACAGTATAAAATACAACTCAATTTATATTTATATTATAAAAAAATTATTAATCATTAATATGTATTTATGAATTATATGTTTCTAATTGTTTCTAGATCCTCACATAATATTGCCACAGGTAGAGATTTTTTTTTGTACTTATATTCCGAGTTAATTTTATACAGTATAAAATAATTAAGGCGGTTGAAATATCGATTTGTCTGTTTTAAATTTAATTTGTTGTAATAATTTGTGTTAATTATTTTGTATGTTTAATTCATGAATTGTGGCTATTGTCATTTCTTTTGGAATATTACTATATACGTTGGAATAATTGTATAAGATTACTTCGTTAGAATAGTCTACTATCTGGGTTTCTAGCATTAAATGTTTTTCGCTGCCTAAGCGGTCTGTAGGATTTATTTTATACTGTGTTAGTATATCATTGCTTGTGATATATATTTTTAATTTTGACTTCGATTTTTTTGCAATAGTAATATTGTCATTAGATTTTATTTTTATGTATTCGGGTTGCACTTGTGTTGCTTTCAGTTGTATAAATGTTTAAATTAATATTTTCATTATGTTTATAATATATATATATATTTTTCTTCTTCTCTTCTTCTCTCTCCCCTAACAACGCGTTAAAAAATAAATTATTAAAATAATAGAATTAAAATTAACATTTAAGCATAATTTTATAGTCAACGACGCGAATAAGCCGAGACAGTAATATAGTGTAAATGTAGATTAGTATTTAATGTAGGTAGTAATAAGACATTTGTATGTAGAAACATCATTAAAAATGAGGGCATTTTTTTCAAAAAAACAATGGGGACTGTCGTATATTGTAGACAGTCGTCATAATATTATTTTATATATGTAATAGAGGTGGGAACATTTTAAATTGTAAACTATTAACATAGGTCAGTGAAGCATATGTGCTGAGACAGCGATAAGATTACTATATAACACCGCCGCACGCGCAGGCACAGGAGGAGAGTCCCGTTGTCGCTGAGTGAATCGGCGAGGACGTAGGTACTGTGGTCGTAGGTGTGAAACGTCGATCGTAGTACGGGCTAGGCAATCCGGATTTGCTAAGTGTTTAATTTATGTTTGTTTTAATATAATAAAAGTGTTTCCGACCTAAAAACCCGAGTTGAGTTTTATTTCAAAGTCTTCTTCGTTCTTACCTTTAATATTGGAACAGTGCTCAGACCCACACACCTATAGTCAATGAGGTTTATTACAAACTGAACAGTGCTCTGGTTGTGGCGTCCTAATAGTCATTCCAATTTAGGAAACGAACGAAGAACTGACAAAACGCTACCATCGTACCTCAAAGGTTAACAGTGCTAATCTGAATATATTCTAGAGACAGTCATTAGCCTAGAGCGTACGAGGGTAAGGTATAAAGTTGGTTTACCGCGTATTATCCAATACGGGTGATACCACAGTAGCCTCGCTGCAACTAAGAGACTACTGTACAAAAAATAAAATAAGCATAGCGCTCATACAGGAGCCAGTATCCATGCCAGGAAAAGTGTATGGCTTCGAGGACTGCAGGGTAATCGCAGCCAAAGACCCAGGCGCAGCGATCATAATTATGAACAACGACCTACAGGTCATAGAACTGACCCAGCACGTCTCAACATATACCGCCGCCATAAGGGTGGGACATGGCCCAAGATCTGCAGTCCTTATATCTGCATATTTTAAATATAACATGCATACGCACGCATTCACCGATAAACTTAGGGCAATACTCGAGTGCGTCAGCGAAACGATAATCGGGGCCGATACTAATGGTCACTCGCCAAGATGGTATAGCGCTGATCTCAACCAAAGGGGGCGCATAGTCGAAGACCTCATCGATGATTACAACCTCAGCATCATAAACTCACCTGGTCACATGGATACCTATGCCCGCCGAGGCATGGGATCCTCAAACATAGATGTGACACTCAGCACGCGAGGCATGGCTGGTAACATCATGGGCTGGCTAGTAAGCGACGTGACTGATAGCGACCACCGCTTACTCAGCTATGCCCTGGACATCACGATAAGTAGGACTCAAGAAAGTAAACGCTTTGACGTTGGCAGAGCGGACTGGGACCGTTTCTCTCAGGAACTAGCAAGAAGCATTCTGACAGTCCAGACGACGGCTGGTCTCAACGCACATGCGTCAACACTGATAGGTGCCATAACCACCGCCGCCAAAAAAGCAATTCCAACAAGGACCGGCAGACGGTGGAACATAAAAAGACAGCCTTGGTGGACGGAGACACTTACCTCCATGAGGAAAAGGTTAAATTTGGCCAAAAGACAAGGTCTCATGCTTCATGACAGACAGGCATACAATCGCCTGAGGAATCACTACCTTCAGGAAATAAGAAGTTCTAAAATGACGGCATGGAGAAATATGTCCGACGATATAAACGTGCACACCTGGGGCAAACCGTTCAAGTACGCGAAAAATGGACCTCGCGTGATAGGCGTCACCTGCTCATTAAGCGGGGCAGATGGGACCCTTACAAGGACAGTCGACGAGACAATAGCAGTACTGCTAGATACCTTCGTTCCTGCAGACCCGGACCAGGTTGTGTCACACATACAATTATTGATATACAACAACAATATCACTCCCAGTTTTTCTATATTTTCTCCGGTTACAGTTGGTCGTTTTTTCCGTTTTAACTCTTAACAGTTCTATAAAAAGTGCGCGCGTAGACCGGTGTCGGTTTTGAGTCGGTCTGCTCAAAATTTTCCCTCTAAGGGCAGTTTTTCTTTGTATTTGTTGAAATTCACGTCCGCCGGTTATTTTAAAGTTTTTATCGTGTGTTCTGGTTGACTCGGCCATGCTATCTCCCGCCGCCCGTTAATTACCTACCCGACGCGATACGGGCCACACGCGTGCGACATATACACTGTGTGCCTAGTAGCATTTATAAACGACGCGATCACTTATACACCGTGAGTCAAGTGATTTCCTTATCTTCATATTATCCCTTAATTTACCTATTCCTTTATTATTTTAATCTACTTTTGACGTCAAATCTGCATAATGACTCCAACCCCAACTAAATCATCACAAATTAAAACTAGATCTGCAACTGTTAATAAAAAAGCTTCGTCTCCTGTTAACATGGATGATCTTCATCACTCTATCGCTGAGATTCGCAGTTCTCAGATTGATATGCTTGAACAGTGTAAAGCTATGAATTTGTCACAAAACTCAAAACTAGCTGAATTGTTATCAAGTATTGATTTTCTTAAATCCCAACTCGTTGAGATAAGGTCGGAAAATACTACTCTCCGCAACGAAATTGCTACCCTCAATAACAGAATTCAAGTTTTGGAGAATTCTACTGATGGTTCAAGTAACATGCCCCAGCTGATCCAAGAATTGGCTAACCGTGAAATATGTGCTCGTAACATTATAGTACATGGTCTCCAAGAGTCTTCGTCCAATGATCCTACAGTTCGAATTGCTTCTGATATTAAATTACTCGGTGATAATATTCATCCGATTAACTTAACTTTACCTCAAGATCTTAAGTTATTTAGGTCGGGCCGCAAGATAAGTGGTAAACCTTGACCTCTAAAGGTGGTACTTCAATCGAAGGAAATGGCTCTCAACTTGGTGTCTGTCTTCAACTCTCATAAGTGAACACAATCGGTCCCTGCTAACTTAATCTCCATCTCACGTGATCGCACCCTCCTTGAGCGCCAAGAAATTCGTCGTGTCTACACAGAGCTTGAGAACCGTAAGAAAAACGGTGAACACAACATCTCCATAAAGTATAGGAATGGAATTCCACTTATTGTACCTAATGATGGTGGTGTTTCTGGTAGTCACTCAAATCATCCATCTTCTTTGCTTTCAAAAAACTAGTCACCTGCATGCATTCATTCATCTCCAAGGACTGTCATCATCCTATCTTCACGGGAACCCCTAACTGTACTATTTGTAATAATCTCAATTCTTCCATGAATATCTATGTACATGAGTTTCTCTAATTCAAAAATAAATTCTCTAAAACTAATTGTCTATCGTTAAGTAAAGAAATGTATAATTAAAATTTTTATTACCAAAATGTTAGAGGCCTTAGATCAAAATTATTCAATCTGCATTCTACCTTTGTTCTTTTATCATATGATATTTTTTTACTAACGGAGACATGGCTCTCTGATGATATAAACAATGCCGAGCTTAACTTTTCCGGTTATACTTAATTTAGATGTGATAGAAGCACTCATTCTAGCAACCTCTCTCGTGGTGGTGGAGTTCTTATAGCAGTTAGGAATAATCTACGCCCTCAGCTCGTCCCTACCGGTGTACAAAATGTCGAACAATTATTTGTTCGTATTTCTGTAACAAATGAACTCTCTGCTCTCATTAGTGTGGTATACATTCCCCCCAATGCAAACTTGTCACTTTATGATACTTAATATGTGGACCTAACGTGGGAATCATCTAATTATAATCTAGGTGTATTTTGTGGTGATTTCAACTTACCAGGTACATCCTGGAGTTCCTCTAACCAGGGTCTCAAGTTTAGTGGCACAGTCAATGATAAATCTTCTCTAATTGGTGATCAATTTATCAGTATGGACTTCCTCCAATTGAATTCTATTTACAACAGTTCTGGTTCCCTTCTTGATTTGATATTCGCTAATAAAGAAAGTATCTCTGTTGATGTAGCTCCAGTCAGTCTTGTCCCTTGTGACAGATATCATCCAGCTTTGTCATTTAATTATCAAGTTCCTGTCCCTTTATTTATGCTAGATGATAGTCACTCGTTTCGTGATTTTAACAATGCTGACTTTGACTCTATTGCTAAAGCCTTAGCCGACAATGACTGGTCTACTACTTTTAACATTCAGCCTGCTGACTTATCTGCCACAAGGTTACAGGATTCTATTCTTGACGCCATTCAACGATTCGTTCCACTTAAACCATTTCGTAGATCAACCTTCCCATCATGGGTTTCCCCTGTTCTCAAATCTCTTCTTTTTAAAAAAAAATCAGCTCATAAAAAATTCAAAAAAACAGGCTCGTTTCATGACTACAATTCGTTCTCCAATCTACGTTTTCAATGTAAAGCACTATCTAAATCATGTTTAAGGACCCATATCAATGTTGCTCAGTCTCGACTTACCTCTAGCCCACGTGATTTTTGGTCCTTCATAAAAAAGAGTCGTGACTCTTCTTCGATTCCTAATCAAGTATACTTGAATGATATCTCTGCTAATGGTCCTGATGTTGCTGAACTTTTTTCTTCTTTCTTTGCCTCTACTTATAAACAACCTTCAACTGCCCCTAACTTAGCTCTAATGAATATTGAAATCCAGCAGTTCTCCTTCTTACCTAACCATTTATCTATTTCCATTGAGGAAGTATCTGATGGTCTCAAGACGTTATCAAATGTCCGTGGAGTGGGCCCTGATGATATTCCAGCTTCTTTACTTTTTAAATGTCGTGAGGTGCTTTGCTCCCCGCTCTGTACTATTTTCAACAAGTCTCTCACTGAGGGATCTTTTCCAGCTGTTTGGAAAATTAGTCGTGTTACACCGATCCTAAAATCTGGTGATCCAACTCTAGTCATGAATTATAGACCGATATCTAATCTTCCCTTAATTGGCAAACTTTTTGAACTGATAGTTCTTAAAAAAATTGAACGCCCTCTTCATTCTACATTGTCTACAGACCAACATGGCTTTTTTCCTGGTCGTTCCACTATAACCAGTTCACTAGATTTTTCTTGTTTTATCCGTGATGCCTTTAGAGATAATTCCCAAGTTGACGCTATTTTCACCGACTTTTCAAAAGCATTTGATTCAGTTGATCATAACTCTCTCATCTACACCTTGGATAAACTGGGAATTGGTTTTCCTCTTTTATCATGGATTCGTTCATACCTAGTGGATAGATGGCAATATGTTAAGTTGTTCAATATTTCATCAAGTAAATTTAAAGTTTCTTCTGGCGTTCCGCAAGGTGGACACTTATCTCCACTACTATTTAATATTTTTGTTAATTCAATATTTAGCAATGTCCCGTCGGTCCGTTTACTTCTTTTTGCTGATGATGCTAAGCTGTTCTCCAGGATATCTTCCAGTACTGATTGTGACGTCCTTCAATCATCATTCAATAATTTTATTAACTGGTGTCAGGCTATTGGCCTTACCCTAAACTTTGATAAGTGTAAAATCATATCATTCTCCAGATCACGGATTCCTGTGGATTACGTATATACTTATAATGACTCACCCCTAACTCGAGTATCTGAAGTAAAGGATCTAGGTATAATATATACCTCCTCACTTTCCTTCAGACCTCATATTGATTATATCACTTGTAAGGCCTTACGTCTTCTGGGATTCATACGCCGCCACACCAAACACTTCAACTCAGCACCTTGCATCATAACCCTTTATTCTGCTCTCATTCGTTCAATTCTCGACTATGGTTCAATCATTTGGAATCCCCATCTTAAAACGGAAATAAAACTTATTGAACGAGTCCAGACTCGATTCCTAAACTATGCAGGCTTCTTATTAAAAATTGAACACCCCCTACACTCATACCAACCTGTCATGGGCGCGCTTAATCCCCTCTCCCTCGAGGAAAGGCGTCTAATTGCGGATCGTAACTTCCTTTTAAAATTAATCCAGGGTAAAATTGATGCTCCGCGTCTCCTTGAGCGTATTAGCTTTAGAGTTCCGACCTCCAATACCAGATCAACCAATTCCTTTCACATCCCCACTTCCCGTTCAAACTTATTATCTAATGATCCTTTTGTTAGAGCTATGCGCAATTTAAATAATAATAATTTTGATATATGGCCTTAAATTTTGTATTCTCCTAACGTGTGTAATTTTCCTATTATAATTATTATTGTTCATATTTTTTAGTATATTGTTAACATTATCATTTATGTATATTATTCTTATCACTAACGTTAATTCATGTTATATCGTTATTGCAATATGTAAAAAGCCGTTTGGCGTTTATACAAATAAATAAATAAATAAAAAATAAAACATTTTCTAAGTACTCTTTTGTTCCTAATTTAATTTATTTGTATTTATATTTTGTAAATTCTAAAAGTTGGCCATTTTTATTGTATTGATTAGGTATGTATTTATACACATATATTCAATATTAATTTTCTTTTATGCTTTTATTAATACTATATTATTTAAAATATTTTAATATATTGTGTATGTATATACTGTGTGTTCATGCAGTTTAACCTACTTTTATTTATTGTATAATTACAAGAATAATATAAATAATATTCTAAGTATTTCTTTTTTTAAAAAATTAGGGTTTTTTATGTATTTTTATTTTGTATCTACTAAATGTTTGCCATATGTATTATAATGTTTTATAATATTATCATTAATAGTTATCATAAATTGTTATGTGGTGTTATGTATTTTCTCACAAACGTATATATTATATTCAATATTTATTCATAATTTTCTTTTATATGTTCATGTACAATATTTTAATAAAACAGTGTAATAACAGCTTTTTGTTTTGTTGGATATAAGGTTTGATTATTCCCTATATGTATGATAATTTTTTGTATGTGAATATATTTTTAGCAACATTACTTCTACTAAGTTTTAGTAATATTCTATAAAAATATAATGAAAATATTATTGGTATTTGGTTTTGACAATATTTTCTCAAGAATCTAAAACAAATAATAATTTTTTTAATTTATTATAGCAATATTGTTGGTATTTCGTTTTGACAATAATTTCATGAAAAGCTTTTAATAATATTGTTGGTATTTCGTTTTGACAATATTTTCATGAAAAGCTTTTAATAATATTAGTAGTATAGATTTGTATGTTCACAGTCTTTTTTTGTGTCACCACGGTAATTTCACAACGTTCAAGGGAGGATGTCCCCCTTGGACACAATAATTTTACCGTGTAAAAATTATGAAGAATTTACACACTTTTTACACGGTAATTTCACACCGTTCAAGCGAAGATGTTCCCCTTGGACACAATAATTTTACCGTGTAAAAATTATGAAGAGTTTGCACACTCAAACAAACCTTATTACTAAAATGAAATAATTATTTTAAATACAGAACACAAGTTATGTAATAATAGATTTTTTTATTATTGAAAATTAATTCTTAAATATATTTACACAAGTTTTCTTACTTCTCTAGTAAAAGGTACATATTCTACAATACGATCATGAATTAATAAAAAATAAGCAGTTACACCTGTAAGCGAATCTGAAGCTTCAATTTCCAATTGAACATCCACTGCTGAGGCTGTGGCTGAATCGTTCTGTTTCGAAGTATCGATAACTATAATTGGAGCGTTTGTCAGAAAAGTAGAAGGACTCAATATCGGGTTACGAATACTTTTTTCAGAGTACGATTCTTGAAAAGAAGTATACATATTATACAATAAGGTGAAATTATTTTTCGAAAAATCTAAATTCAAATTATCGTATGGATAAGCTATCGAGTTCAGAAATACTTTAACGTTTGTTAGATTACAATGATCGAATATACTACAATCTTTTGATAACACATTTTTACGTCCTTTCTGTAATCCAATTATGATGAATCGTGGTTTTTCTAATTTTGAAGCAGTTTTCAAATTCCACACAACTTTTTTAGTGGTTCCGAGTTCAGGATATTCAAAAGTTTCAAAAGATCTAAAAGGGATAAATAGACTTTTTTCTTTTTCTATAAGTTTCAATAATTTTAGCCTTTCTTCGTCGTCGACCGTTATATGTGGAACCTTCCAGACTATTTTATTTAAGGTAACTTTACCTTCAGTAACAGTAGCACCACTTTTAACTTGTAAAGCATTTAAATCACTATGACTTCGAGTTAATATTAATTCCAATCTAGAATTCACTAATATTCTTTTATAGTCTTCAAACAAACCTAGCCAATATTTCAATGGAATGCAAGCACTAAATTCACCTTTGTCATTTTCCGATTGCGTTAAGTTTTTAAAATTCCAGCCAGTATTTTCATAGCAATTGTAGTTATCTGGCGTACCGGATAAGTAACCTTTCAACGAGCTAGTGATTCCAAGAACACGTGTGCTATCTACTTCTATCCCATTGATTTCCAATCGTATTTGTTCGAAGATGTAAGAGTAACCATTATTAGTTAGTTTCACTTTGGTAGCATCAGTAATTGTCCCCTCCAAAAAAATAAAGCTTTCGTGTAGATATGGATAAACATCCGTTTGCTGGATTGATATACATATTTCATCATTATTATTAAATGATGTAGTATACAGTGTGTAGGAATGATATTCCATTCTCGTAATTTTAGAATCCGTCTCGTACTGCGAAGTTATATCCAAAATATCACTTTCAGGCATTCTGCTTTAATTGATAGCCCAGAGTTCGCAAAATTTTTTTATTCTTCACCGTCAATTTTTTAACACAATTGTCAATGTCTCACCAAAATTGACAATCGGATTATGATCTTGATCAACTAACTGAACGGTTATCGTATCAATATTTGTTTTATTCAATTTGTAATATATTAAATTTGGTGGTGACTGTACAACTTTCGATCCTGACGTTTCACTAGGGAAAAACTCATAAATCGAATGACTTTGAAGATGGTAGTTGAATGATCCTTGAGCTATATTACACATTACTTTTATAGAATTAATTGTGTTAAAATTCACAGCTTTTTCCGATCTATGAGTTTCATAATCTGGCTTATATTCTCGTTTTTCAAAACCCAATACAGGTGCTATGCTATGTAAAACCTCAAAGTGAAGTATTCCATTACATTTTATATATGATCTGAAGTCGTTAGAATCAACCGAAATGTCAAATGTTAACTTGGTTTTGAATTTTTCATTATAAATATTTATTTGTTCCATAACTCGATGCTTAATATCTTTGATTTCATAACATCCTTCTTCCAGTTTAATATAACACCACATACGATCAGTATTATTATTATTATGGTCAACTGCTTGTATAGCAAATTTATTATTATCTTTGTTTATATTCGGGAATGTATTAAATGTTTGCAAACATAACAAAGCTATTTCTGAGTCTTCGTAAAGGTTTATAAACGGAAAATAATTTGCAGATAATATGGTTGTGTTGCCGGTTAAACTTAAAGTAACTGACTCGTACATCCTGATATCTGAGATATAAATTTAATAATATGACTCGTGACGTTTAATATGCAGAACAACTGTCAATGTCTCATTAAAGTTATCTATGGGATTATTGTTTTGATCAACTAACTGTATAGTTATTGAATTAATGTCTGTTTTGTTTAATCTGTAATATATCAAATTCGGTGGTGACTGAACTACTTTCGATCCAGTTCTCCCACTAGGGAAAAACTCATATATTGAATGACTTTGAAGTCGGTTGTCGAATGACCCATGTGCTATATTACACATTACTTTTATAGAGTTAATTGTGTTTAAATTAGCAGCTTTTCCCGATCGAAGAGCTTTATTTATTGGTTTATAGGTTCTCTTTTCAAATCCAAAAACAGATGCTATACTGTTTGGAATATTTAACTTTAGTATCCCATTGCATTCAATGTATGTTCTAAAATCTATGGGATCAATAGATACGTTAAATGTTAGCTGTGTTCTACATTTATTGTTAAAGTGAAATAACTCTTTCGCAATTTTGTTGTTAATATCTTCTATTTCATAACATCCTTCTTCTAAAATAAATATAAACGTTTTTAGGATAAATCTATTACTTGTTGAAGGAATTACTTCTATCTCCAGTTGGTTATTAGCTGAATTTATGTTTGGAAATAAATTAAGTGTTTTTAAACATAACAAAGCTATTTCCGAATCCTCGTAAACGTTTAGAGTCGGAAAATAATTTGTAGATAATATAGTTGTATTCCCAGTCAAACTTAGTGTAACAGATTCATACATTGTAAAACTTCAAGGCATAAATGACCGCAGTTGAATGTATTGAAATCTTGATAGTTAGAATAGTTGTATACTATTTTGAACTGCCTGAAATAATGTTGTAATTCAATTGGTGGTGACAATTCACCAAAGCTATCAAAATATACTACTTTGTCCTTATTTTTATAAAACGCTACCCAATGACTTCAGTCTCCTGAAGATATATCTAAGTTTAATATGCCACATTCAATCGCATGCGGTTTTTTAGGTAAGTTATCACGTGAAAAGACTCCACGGAAATGATTGATTTTCAACTTTCCGACATATTTTATAATATCTTGAGACGAAAGCGGTCTGTCAGGTAGCGTGATCATCAGTTTTTTTTTCTTAACCTATTCTTGTCTGATTTCAAACCACTGCCTTTTTTTCTTTTTGAATTTTGAACCGCATTATACACACTAGCACCTCCAGACATCAAACTACCAAGTGCCGACAGTCCTGCAAATATAGGTATTAAGGGAATTACACCTCCTGACTGTCTCGGTGCTAAAATCAACCTTTTATCACCATTCTTTTTCTTCGAGATTCTTTTTTTCTTCGCTGCTAGTATACCATTTGTTTTTATAGCACGTTTCCATTTACAGCCCATACCTATTTTTCTTTTAGCTTTCATTGCGTTTGTTACTGCGTACGCAACTAATTTCTCTTTTCTAGGTGTATCTTATGTCTATCGTCTAAATTTTTACTCGTTGCATACACAATATCGTGATCACGACAAGCAGCATCCGATGGGTTTATTCCTTTATCGCCACGATCTAGCCTCTTTTTTAATTTCATGCCAGGACCACATTACTGATATCCTGAATAATGGGCTTCGAACGGGAGACTATTTATAAGAGAGTTTACAAATCCTTTTCCAGTCTTGACTGACTTGCACTTACGAGTCGAACGCGTCATCGATAACTGATTATAAATTGGAAATTCTAGAGTATTTATAAGAAAATAATATGGATTTTATCGAACAGATAGATAAATTGGATGTTATAAATGTAGATGTTCAGGTAGTAAAAAAACCATCAAGACACGGTTCGTTATTACCCGATACTATACGTGCTATACTAGTTGGTCCCAGCGGTTCAGGAAAAACAAATATAATGTATAATCTGATCACACATGCAAACGGGTTAAGATTTGAAAATATTTATTTATACTCTAAAACCTCTAATCAGGAAAAATATGTTTTATTAAAAAAAATAATAGATGATATACAAGGTGCTAATTTTTTCCTATTTACAAGCGCTGATAAGGTAATAAAACCAAACTTAACCAAGAAAAATTCTATTATAATTTTTGATGATGTGATATGCGGTCCACAATCTGTAATCAGAGAATACTTTAACATTGGTAGACATTCAGGTGCTAGCTCTGTATTTTATTTAGCACAGACATATTCTAAAATATCAAAACAGCTAATAAGAGATAACACAAACTTTTTAATAATACTGAAACAAGATGATACAAATTTACGACATATATTCAACGATCATTCGTCTACAGATATGGATTTCTCAGAATTTCGAAAAATTTCCCATTTATGCTGGAATCATAACGATTATGGGTTTATGGTTATCGATAAAACTCGAGAAATGAATGAAGGAAGGTATAGATGTGGTTTTCATACATTCATTAAAATAAAATAATTTTATTAGTTTATATAAATATACCGTCACACAGTTATTATCTGCATAGTGTTATCAGTAGTCATACGATACAGGTATATTACATTTATTATTTACAATGAACAAAGAAAAAGTATTGTTGGAAAATTTAATAACATCAAAAAAAAATATACAACGAAAAATAATGGAAATGAAACGTGGTGTTATAGATTCTGAAAACTATTTCCGTGAAGCATTTAAGCCGATAATTGAACCATTGAGTACACATGTGAAACAAAATGTAATATGTAACACACGGTCAACTGAACTAGAAAATAAATTAGAAACCCCGTGCATTAGTGAAGAAGATAATGATGATGAATTAAAATATTAAATTCATCATATGAAAATTTTTTAAATAACCGTCCTAAATCAACACGTTATGATAAATCTTATGGTATGTACCCACTGTGCAAAATGCAGTACCACGAACATCCCATGGATATGTGTTGAGGATATTCTATGTTATTAACTAATGCATATTGATGTTATAATGATGTTCATGGGATTGCTAATGCCAGGTTGAGCGACTTTTTAAAAAGTAATTTATAAGAAGTTAGGTTTCGACGTTTATACGACTGCATTATGCAATATCTTAGGGATGTCTAATATAACTTCTATAATATGTGTTTTTCTAAACATTTATATCATGTTCAATTTGAACAAATATAAGACGTAATTTTGCGATATCCGTAGGATGTCTAATATAACTTCTATAATATGTGTATTTTTAGACATCTATACCATGTTCAATTTGAACAACCATAAGACATAATTTTACCTGTTATATTACATCTCTGAGAAGTTAGTTCAATAACATAGCAAGAATGTTTTTAATGTTAGAGGAATATACAGTGTCATAGCCAGGGGGGACTTTTGCTGAAAGTCCCCCCCTTTCAAATTTTTATGAACATTGGGATCATAAAGTAACTTATATACTACAATATAAACAAAAGAAATCCATCAACTGGTCATAACTTTTATTAGAATAATAATTAATATGAAAATTAAAATAATGGTTAAAAACATATAATAAATGATAACATTTAATAATAATAGATTACTTTATAAAATCTATGTATATAATAAAAAAAATTATAATATTATTATATTTGCAGAATAATGTACTATTATTATAGGTATTGTACAATTCAATAAAAAAAAAAAACATCTTCACTTGAAATTATAATTAATATACATGATAATATTTTTAAAAAAAAACTGCTTTACCTTATATGAATAATAATAAAAAAAAATTATAATATTATTATATTTGTAGAATAATGTACTATTATAGGTATTGTACAATTCAATAAAAAAAAAAAAAAACATCTTCACTTGTAATTATAATAAATGTATAATAATATAAAAAAATTATAATATATTAAAATATTTATGTATATTAATATAAGTACATGATAATATTTAAAAAAAAAAACTGCTTTACCTTATATGTATAATAATAAAAAAAATTATAACAATAACAATAAATCTTATAATGAGAGTATAATGGGTCTGAAACATTTCACCATAGAATACCTATATTGAAAGAAAAGACAAATGATACATTTTCCATTAAGCTAGTAAAATAAAAAATAATATTAGGTAGATATATTATGAAATATTTAATTTGAATATTACATTGATGATTGATAAAAAAAAATTATAATATATTATGACTTAAAGACATAACAACTGCCTTATTAGTTGATAAAGGAACAAAAAAACATTTATACTTAATATCATTAATGGTTATGCATTTCAAGTTAGACTGGGATGTAATATCAACAATGACTGAGCCAATTATAAATGATTCTAGTGGAACTTCAAAAAAATTTGAATATTTATTAAATTGACACACATTTAAAAAAATGTTTCCATTTTGATCCTTATATATATGCCTAACTGATGCCACTTCATTGGTAATTAACATAATATAATTATTTTTTGGAACCTTGGACGAAATAATATAATTTGCACCAGTTAAAGTTATGGTTTGATAAAAAATGAATTCCTGATTTTTATTAAAAATATGGTCATCTCCATCACATTCATTACTTAATTTATATTTTTCAATATCTATAGTGTTTTCGTGATCACTATACATAATATTTATTTTTTCTAATATTCTATTGGCAGCTTCTTGTAAAGGAAAACGAGAATGTGAAATGCTTTTTTTTAAAAGTCCTAAGTAGTTTTCATATTTGAAAGCACTGAAATTGTCCAGGCACCCATGTATCTTAGCATAATATGGGAGATGAATTAAACTATGAATATTATGCGTCATAAAATGTGAACCATAATTAGTTTTAAATTCTTTCACAAACTCAACTATTAAATTATAAGCAATTTCATTTTTAGTTGAATATAGAGCTGGGGTTGCCAAAATTTTTATAGCGCAGTGTAATTTAATAAAATGAAAATAAAACTGTTTTTTAAGTCTTCCTTTTAATATAATTGGACCAGTGAACAGCAAAAAAGTTCTGAATTCATTCGCTTTCCAATATTCAATATCGTTCAACGATCTCGGTAACCTGACAAATTCAGATGGGAAAAAATCTCTTAAATTATTTAACTCTACGTTAGCAGCATCACATTTCTCTAAGGGTATTCTTGTCGATTGTTTACCTCTCACCCAAAACTTTAAAAGGCGTTTCATTGCCCCCAAGCAAACTGCATGCATATAATCAATTGGTACGGATTCAATCATATCAATCGGCAAACGTTCCAAAGGACTATTACCTTTATGGTACTCGTCATCACTCCTTGCTCTAAAACTTTCGTTAGTACGCAATGCAGCATTCACTCCCAAAAATGCCATTCTATGTTCTTTATATTCACCTTCCTCTAAACATGTATTACATCCTACACGAGAATTATGTCCTTTCACATTAAGCAAAAACGCCTTGGCAGGAGAATCACAAATGAATTGTTTAATACTTATACGTAATACCTTATCATCAACATTAATTCCATATTTTACCAATTCTATAGCTTCATTTATAAACAAATTCAAAAAGTCATCTATAGACTCTGGTTTTTTAAGTGTACTAAAATATAAGCCAATAGCAAAAACTAATTTAGATAGAAAAGGTACATTTATAATTGAACAAAGTATTGGCCAAAATTGTTGTTTAGAACTGTGTGCTAATGGCAACCCATCAATATTAAAACTTAAACTTATTTCATTAACATTTCTTAAGCAATTAATATTAAACTTTAATACAATCAAAAGCATTTTTTTTTAAACCTAAATGAATATAAGTTCCAGGGTTCATACAAATTATATCATGTGACCTTGGAGTATGCATCAAAGTCCTAACATCTTTTGGCAAATCCAATCCTTCAGATCGTAAAATCTTTAATAAACTATTTACACTATTTTTTTTTACATTGTAAGCTAGAACCCACTGTTGGAGCTTATTTTTAATACTAGAACTATCATCATTATTAGAATTGACTTGGGGATTTAATGTATCAGCTGTATTTATTTTGTATCTTAAATCATCAAGTAATAAGTTAATTTGTTTATTATTACAAAAATCCATTTTAGGTATAAGCTGTTGTGTATTATTATTACAGTTTTCAGTTAGTTCGACCACAGTTGTTTCTATTATTTTATCCATGTTAGCTGAATTTAAACAGTTATCAGATGAAATACTACATACCTCTTCTACTTGGGATACTTTTTTTGGTTGTTTTGTACATAATTGAAGCCGTTTAAAATGTCGAATAGACATGTTTTCAATGGATTTTCGTTTTTGGCGTGGAATCTTTAATAACAAAAATATTATAAATAAGTAAACAAATATATTATATAGGTATAAAATTATAAAATATAAGGTTTATATCAACATTAAGATCATGAGAATTATAAATAATTATTAATATTTACTAGAAAATATTTTTCCATACATATTATATTTCTATCAGTAGCTTTTTAATTTTACTATAATTATTAACTTTCTAGTAGTATAATATGTCATAATAATATACACAACCTGTACTAGTTTCTTTTTTATGACGCTGGGAACCATGCCTGAACCAATCTTTTACATGAATTTCAAATATATTTTCATCATTCTGATAAAGCTCATTTGAAATTTCTAAAAAAAAAAATACATAAGCTAATGTAGTAATGTAATAAAATAAATATTGACTAGGTATAGCATACGTTTCATGACTTTTATAATTTGATGGTCGACGAGTCGATAGTTGTTTTTTTGTCCTGTCCATGAACAAAGTGTAGCCAATTTATTGGAAAATAATTTCTGTAGTACTCTCTTGATAAAATGTTTTGTGTCAGAGCCGCCAATAGATTTAATTAAATTTATCTGAAATAAAATAGGTAAATAATAAATATTTAATTTACTTATAAGTTATATTATATGCTATAAGATAATTATTGATTTTACCAATTTAGTCAAGTTTTCATCATCATTTTTTAAAGATTCATTAAAAGATTTAAGAGACTCTAAATCGTTCAAAGGAAATAAGTCTAAAAAATTTGAGTCTAATGTAGGTGGTTTCACATTTGCACTCGGATTACTTTTTATATAGTCTATAATAATATCTAACTTTCTATCCATTCTAGTGAAATACATGTTTGTTGTATGAAGTATTTCATCCATTTTATTTGTTTGAAAATCTGACTCAAACCTATTCAACTCTAAAACAAAAAAAGCAATTTTATTTAAATTTGGAATTTAAGTAAAATTGAAATATGATAACAATTCAATAATAATATACAAAAAATATTGCTAGAGAAATCTGCATATATATACATTACCAGTCATATTTAATACACCAACATCGTTTGCTGTACTTGTACCTCCAACTAAAAAGAAAATTACAAAAAAAATATTATTATGAAAAATAAATTGTGATAAAAGTGGTGACAAAATTAAAATGTTTACCAGAAATGTGATGTTGTTCAAATGAATCTGCATTTCCAGAATATTGATCACCTTAAAAATAAATTTATAATTATTATAAATTAAGTTATCAAAATTAAATTGAAGTAGCTTAAGTGAATTAAGTTAATATCTATTTTGATTGAGTACCTAGTGTCATATCATTATAATGATCCCCAATAAACATTTCAGGAGTAATGCCATTAAGCAATGTGGAGCTTAAATTTGAAACAGCTAAAAATAGTTGTTGATTTACAACAGACAATTAGAATTTATTTAGTATATATTATAAATTAATTAATATTTGTATTAATAAATAATAGTGTTCTTACCAGGTAAATAGTTACTAGAGCCAATAATATTGGAACCAGTGTTCAAGCCAATTGATGTGTTTACAGCAGCTTTATGAATGTAAATAAATATTAATTAATTAATCAGTATATTAATATATTGTCATGTATTAAAGTAGGAAAATGCTTCATTTTACTTACAGGATATAATATTACAATCATTGTTTTTGTCTGGAATTAGTTGCTTTTTGAACTTTTTACTTGGTTCAGAAGTTGATTGTTTTCTCTTAATTTGTAAAGGTTCTTCCTCACTGCTGGAACCTAGAGAATTAAACTAATTTCAAAAACAATCAAATAAATTAAAGTATATTAAGTACTTACCTACCTAAAATACTAGGTAAAATAATAATAAATAGGAAGTTTGACAAACTATATCATTTAATAGCGGGTTTAATAGTAAGTACTTAAAGTAACTTACTTATATGGTACCTACTTCTAAAACTAATTTTATAAAATAATACAAACTGGCATTATAATCATCTTCTTGAACTTCATTGTTTTCAGTGTCTGAATCACTTTGAGACTCTGCACCTGATGATATAAACAATTCTATTTCTTTTGCAGCAGCTGCTTCATATGAATCTAAATATCGTGGGTATTATAAAACAAAAAAAATTAATTTACTATTTACAATTATAACTATAGGTAAGTGATATTTTAAATTATAATTTACCAAATTCTTCTATAAGTTTGACAGGATGGGTGGTCCATTTATGCGAAGGCTTTCCTCCTTTCATGATTGACATTGCCGTAACACGACTAGCATTGGGCCATGAACAGTTTAAAATTCCATCTTTTGATTTTTTCAACCAACCGATAGGTATAATGGAATATGAATTTTCCTTCTCAAACAACCCTATTATATACTAAACAATTCATCCATTACATAGGTAATAATACAATAATATATAAATATGAACTAAATTACACTATATTATACACTATACACAGGCGTACTGATAGAAATATTATACCTAAACAATTCATGATATCAAACATTATTATATGTTATAGGTACCTATTAAGTATTAAGTAAATAATGAAGGAATAAACTGTGAGCATAGAATTAATAAACAAGAATAGTGATTTTTTTTCAATAGAAATCCGGTTTGATACCTACCATGCCTAAGCTATTATTATATTATTATAGCGTATTATGTAGGTACCTGCAGCTAAATTAAGTATGTTTACCTTTGTTTCCTTGTTCATTTGGTCCATGGTGAATGTGTGTTGAAATGTGTGTTGTATATAGAAACAGTCCTCAGCTGTATGATTGTTCGTACACAGGAAGGATTAAAAAAATACACTTGTGTTGAATGTTGAAGTGTAAACGGCAGTAGACGATACCATACGCGTGTAACTTAACAACAGTACGATGTACGAATCCACGAACTAATTCACTATACGGTACACAGTAGGTAACACCAGACTCCGTGGTAAGGTCGCACACGAGACAGGCGAAACATCAATACACTATACACACAACACGTGTTGAGGTGTAGGAGTGTAGAACACAGGTAACTACATAAAGAAGCGAACTAAGTCAAGTCTTAAAAAACTTAAAAGTCTATGCCAGCGGACAGACGAAACATCAATACACTATACACACAACACGTGTTGAGGTGTAGGAGTGTAGAACACAGGTAACTACATAAAGAAGCGAGCTAAGTCAAGTCAAAAAACTTAAAAATCTGCAATGCCAGCGGAAAGACTGTCAGTTGGTGGACACAAGGTGGTCACTGGTCAAACACTATATTAATAAATAATAAATAGTAATAACTAATAATGAAAACTGTACATGACAGTTGCGTGTAAAGGTAAACGGCACTAAGCGCGTATTAATATTCAGTGATGACAATCGACAATTATTATAATGTGATTGCCAGACACCAAGACTGCCGAATGCCGATGTTATTATTATTGCGTTTAATATCACTGCTACCCACGACCACCAATCACGAGCACTCATTGATTGCTTTATAACCGTTTCTGCGGGTTTTCCCAACAACTGTCGATAAAATATAATCGCAACCGACTATCCACATCTATTCGATGTTATTATGTTGATGTTTTCAACTATTAAAATATATAATAACTGATAATTAGTAAACTTACTAACCTCTTATGAACATCTTAGAAAGATGTTAGTGGGATATTATCAAATTACATTATAATAGACAAAACAAATATTAACTAATATATGATATCCATATACAACATCCCAAGTACAGTATCATTTAAACATCTGAAAGTTGTTAAACTGAATACCACTTAAAGATGTTTGCGGTGAACGTTAATTGTATATAATTTAGATGTTCTTTTTTAGAAGTTAAATTCAATAATTTATTAACATCATTTTGATATCAAATAGTTGATGAACAAAGATATACTATTTTAGGACATCCATATGATGTTTTGGTTAATCTATGGTACAGTGGGGTATTATGATAAAGATAGTGATTCATATAAAATAGGAAAACATTCTGTTACTTTAAGTCACGGCAAATTACTGTTGCTTAATAAATACTACCAATTTACACCAGGACTATGGTCTTTATTATTCGAGAAGGAACCAAAAAATACAACTTTAGCAGATATAGAATCTTATTACAATATTTTGAAAACTAGTGGAGTCCATTTAAAAGCAGATGGAAAACCTAGAACCTCGAGGTACCATAAATGGGTGACTGTTGTAAAACCACTGTATGATCGAATGAAAATGGAGGAAAAACAGTTTAACGAAGAAATAAGTAAAATTAATGAGAATACAACTCCTCGAATTAATTTAAAATCATTTATCTAGTTCAAGCGCTAAACGCAAAAAAATAACACAAGAATTTGAACCATTTGATTTTAATCCAGAAGCAAACAGTTAAATGTCTACAAATCCATTAGTTGAAAAGATGTTTAATTTTACTTCATCACCAAAGACTAAGAAAGGTTCTGGTTTATATAAAGATGTCTTACCTCAAATCCAATTAGTTTATTATGACGATCCGAATGAGCTAGTAACTAGATTAAATCTTTTGACATCATCACAAAGTGTTGGTAATACTGGTGTGAATAATGAAATAATATCTATTTTAGAAGAACTACGTGAGAGAAATATTATAGTATAATGGCTACCTTAGAGAGTATAGCTAATGAGTTACATCGGCCAGCGAGAAAAATATTTCCTAGACGCAGTGTAGTAACGCGGTTTATTGATGACCTCTGGCAAACTGATTTAATGGACATGCAATCTCATTCTAAACAAAATTATGGTTTTAAGTATATTTTAGTTGTCATAGATACATATAGTAAGTACGTATGGCTTGAGGCGTTGAAAAATAAAACATCGAAAGAATGTACAAAAGGTATGTTTAATATATTGAAAAAAGCTCATCCGAAATTATTACAGACAGATAATGGTACAGAATTTTACAATGCTCAATTTCAAGATTTAATGAAAAAATACAAAATTAAACATTACAGTTCATACAGTGTTATTAAATGTGCAATCGCGGAACGCGTGATCCAGAGTCTTAAAAATAATATATATAGACATTTTACTGCTACTGGTACATGGAATTGGTATAATACACTATCAAAAATTACACAAAATTATAATAATACAAAACATAGAACAATCAAATGTACACCGAATGAAGCTCGAATGAATACAAACAAAATTAAATTTTAATTCACAAATAAATGATACATTATATAATCCAAAATTTAAAATTAATGATAAAGTAAGAATATCTAAGACCTAAGTAAAAACATATATTTAGTAAAGGATATACACCAAATTGGACAACGGAAATATTTACAGTTTCAAAAGTTTTACAGACAAATCCAGTAACTTATCAACTAAAGGATGAATCAGACAATATAATCTTAGGTGGTTTTTATGAACAGGAAATTAAATTAACTGATTTTCCAAACACCTTTCTCATTGAATGTATTGTAAAAAAAGTTGGGAATAAAATGCTTGTTAAATGGTTAGGTTTTGATTCAAGTCAAAATTCATGGATAACATCATCAGATATTTTAAAATAAAGATTTTTTTATGCATAATATGTAATACTTTAATAATAAAAGTTAGAAAAAAAAGTTGAATTAATTATTTGTTTTTTAGTTTGTAATTTCTTTATCCCAAAAGCTATTTTTTTTTTTAAATTTATTTTTTTTAAAAAAATAAATTTTATTACACTACCGTTAGATAACGCTTTTGTTTATATCAATTGCGGATTTATCAATTCTTTTTTCCTTCATTACATAATTTATCCAGTTTATAGTGACCATAAGCTATAGTATTTATCCCGTCATCATTTATATGACGTTTATCGTCATTAGCGCTTAAAACAAGTTTGTTCATTGTTTTCGATTGAACAACATGTTTGTTTGATTGGACAAAATTCATGGTTCTATGAGTTAATTTATCCTTAACAGATAAATGGTTTATAAAAGCGTTTAGTATATCCTTATAATTATCGAATTGCATATGTTTTTTAATAATACATTTCTTTACACCTTTTGCTTTTTTTCCTCAGTACCGTCTACAGTTTTGTATGCATATAATTTTGGTCTTAATGACACGAATTCTTTAAGTATTACTAACTTCAATTCATCCTTGAAAAAGCCTGGTTGACTTTTATGTAATTCGCTATAACAATAATGGTCTTTAGGGTAATTAGATGTATCAAAATATGGTAATAAATCATTTTTTAAATCATTGAAAAAATTGATAGTTTGAATAGAGTATATCAAGGAATCAGTATCCGAATATAAAGAACTAATTTTAGTACCATACTTTTTCTTCATGACATTATAATGAAAATCGTACATAAATGTTTTCGAAACGTCTAAAATTGCAAATCCTACATAAATTGCCTTATCGAATTTAATAGTTTCCTTATGTTGATGAATAGCCATGAGATTTTTAGAGTATATAGTTCTGTCTTTAAAACTAGTTTTTGCCATTAGTTTATTCGCTTTTTTTTCTGATGAAACCAGTTTTATAGAAGTTCTTGCTCAGACATTTTCCATACATTTACCAAAAACACTATTAATTAACAACTTCCAGAAATTTTTTTCAAACTCGTTTTTTGCTCGTTTTTTGCTCTCATTTTTGTACAGAATTCAATGTACGACGCCATCCATTTTTTTTGTGAAAAGCGGATAGCTCGATGAATTTTTACTACTTTAAGACCGTGAGAAATTGCTTGTTTCAAATTTTTGTAATGTACAATATAGTTTTTCTTCGGTGATAGAGTAGTTAACAATTTCTCAACTTTTGAATTTGGTGGACATTCGTTAAACGGTAAAAACGGGAAATCATTATGGTTTTTATGCAAATGCTTAGGGTACTCGATATCAACTTCTAATATATATCCTACTTCAGAATCATCGGAAATTTTAGTTACATAGTAGGTAGAGTTAGAGAGTTCCGACACCTCATCCTGCTGGCAATTTCCTATACCCGTCTGCTCATCCCACTACACCGTCCGCTCATCTCACTATACCCGTCTGCTCATCCCACTATACCCGTCTGCTCATCCCTATACATTGACGGCTGCTGAACCCACCATATATCACACACGTTAACGATGTACCCCCGCCACCCCACCACCTATGACCACCGCGCGTGGAAAATAATTTAAAAATTTATCCGCCGGACCGGGATTCGAACCCGGTTCCCTTGCATGATAAGCGACCACCGTACCATTGGGCCGCCTACTCGCATATGTTTGAGAAGGTATATTCTATCTCATTTAACCGACGTCCGCTTACGTACGCGAGGTATAATTTCCCCCACCACTATACCATGCCAAGAACCGCCGCGAACGCGCGCGCGAGCCCTCCGGTGCGTTATCAGTTATCACAGTGACTTTAACACAAAATAATCTACTGGTATATTTTTAACATTTTGTAGCTATCAAATACACCGAGACGGGTCTATTATAGCAATTTATTGAGCCCAGAGGAAACAGTTGACATAAAATTATGTTATGTTCTAAAAAACATTTCTTTACACAGCATGTATATGATGACCCTACCTTACTACGTTATATACGACAATTTAAAAAATGTGACATTTGTGTGCATCGCTTGCAGGTATGGACTAGTATGGGCGAGTTAGTAAAAATCCATGGTTCTAGATATTATGAAGATGTATTAGGTACAGCAGAATGTAGGGAAGTAGCTGTTAAAATATTTAATATAGTACAAAATTT